TTCTGGGGGTTGCCCAGCTGGTGCTGGAGGGTCTGGCAGGGCCATGGGAGCCCCCACCCCAAGTCAGGAGGCTGACACAAATTAATGAAGGTGCTCTGCTTTGTCATAAGGGTTCAGATCTCAACCACATGTAATGAGGTTTCTGACTGTCATGGGATCAGGCTCTTTTAAAGCACTCTGCAGCATGCACTTCTGTAAGGGCACAGCTGTAGAGTACTTTCAGTGGCTGATTGCATGACAAAATGTCACTTTTGTCAGTGCCCCCTGTTAGCATCTGATTAAGGCTGGTTACACTGTAATTCAGAGCCTTGTGGAAACAATTAATTGCACTTTACAAATGACTTAACCAATTAACCTTGACCTGTGCCATACACTTATCTTAGTTTATAGCAACATTTATAGAACTTGTGGGTTGATGCCTCCCTGTAAGGAAGTCAAACAACCTTGTGCCCCCTTAGTTCAGCCACTGCTGCTGTTTCCCTCATCTCGGATAGTCTTGTGACCCCCTAATTCTGCTGCCACTGTTACTTCACTCACTATTGCTTCCTCCTGTGGGTGGCAATTGCTGGAAAAGAAATTGGTGACAATTGGGCAAAGGGGATCAGCATCTGGGGAACTGGCAGCAGTGGCTGAAGTAAGGGGGTGCGAGAGAACTGGCACTGGGGGAAATGGTGGCAGCTGCTGAACTGCAGGGGGAGTGAGAGTAGTTGAAGTAGGGAGGTCCTACCAATTGCCACTGTAATTCCCATGTGCCCTCTCTCAAGAACCTTTCATGATTTCCTGGGCTGTATGCAGAATTTAGGAAGCAAATCCAAAATTGCAGTCCTGAAATCCTACTTTAGTGGCTGCCTAACTGTGGAGGTGCCAAAATGTCACAGGTCCCACTTTTTGGCCATTCATTTCTCAGACACCAATAGCTTTTATTTCATGCATATCCAGAAATGCACTTGGATGCATTTAGTAGGGCTGTGCAAAATTTTGGCAGACCTTTCATTTCAGAGGTGTTTTGGCCTGTTTTGAAATGGAAGGCTCTGAAACATCTCTGGGACGGCAGCCTGCTGTCATCCAGCACATATATCTTGGGGCCAGAGCCCTGTGGGGAGGAGTCTGGCACAGCCCTGCAGCCCTCCTGGGGGGTGTGGGTCCCTGGATCTGCGTGCAGGATGACAGGGGGCTGCTGCTGCTGGCTGGGCACCAGTACCTGAGGCTTTTCAGCACAGCTCATGCTGAGCACAGCCAGGGGAGCCACGGGAGAAGCCCCCATGGCTGACCTGCCCTGCCCATCCCCATCCCCCACCCAGCCTCCTGGCACTTAAAAAAAAAAAAAAAAAAAGTGCACTCACTAAATCTGGCGGTGGCTATCAGGGCCCCTGAGGGCTCATGGCAGAGGCCCCCATGCAGCTCGGAGCAGTGCGGG